ATTATTGGCAAACATTAACGTATATTGGTAACAAACGATTAATGCCTAAAGAATTACAACTGAATGTTCAATGCTGTCGAATAACATAATCAAAGATGTACGTAAGACACACACATACATTAATGATCACTTCTTTTATCTTAGGTGTTGACCGTCCTCAAGCGCCACCTCGGTGTCGACATCCTGGAGCAGTTTGTTTTGGACTTTGAGAGAGGTTAGTATAATAGGATAATGCGACTGGTGGAGTACATCGAGCGTCAGTGGATAGACGACGATGTATTCCCCCCAGCCTCTTGGACTGTCTTCCGCCAGAGTGTCCGCACGAACAATGACGTTGGAGGTAAGTTATAAAAATGCTGTATGACGTGCACATGTTTGATAAACTATATAGTTTTGTGTTCATATTACCTTCCTAAATTAAGTTCAAAACGTTAAATGTAATTAATGCAATGTATATGTAATTTTCATGTTTGTTTTCATTTAGGCTGGCTCCATCGCCTCAACGTTAAGGCTGGACATGGGACGACACTGTTCTACAGACTGGTTCCCCTTCTGGTTAGAGAAGCAACCATTGTCGAGACCAGCGTTGCTGCGGAAGATTTCTCTAGGGACAACCGTGCCGTTAACAGCCGGATGGAGAAGCAGCTGACCGCCGCCACAGACAGTTACATGACGGATGGACTGTCAACAACAGCATTCTTGCGAAAGTGTGCCGCGTTGTACACGTGTCGGTTGGACGGGGCAGAGGAAGATGAGGCTAGAGACCAATGAGATGTGCTTTTTCTGTGGGACCAGTTCGAACAATGTGTTTTTGTTGTTGTATGTTGCATTTTATTGTGGAAAGTAAGTAGAGTATTAGTGCTTTTTGTTAATTAAGTCATTATGTGATACTGTGATACAATTAGTGATTTTAGTGCTTCAATTATTTGTCAGTGAGTAAGCGGTACCAGAGTAGTGTACGTATTGTGCACGTATGTCCATTTAATTGTTGGCTGTAAATAGTGTATTAGTGATTTGTGTTATGTAAGTTAGTAAGTAATACTATTTAGTGCTTTAATTATTTGTCAGTGAGGGAGTAAGCGGTACCAGAGTTGTGTACGTATTGTGCAAGTAGTGCTAAAGGTTTGTTAGGGTAAGTGTTTTTGTATAAATGTGTACGAATTTTATTACTTAGTGTTGTGTCTTACATGAATATGTGTTGTATAAAAAGGGAAATGGATAAAGAAATCCAAACGAAAAAATACAAAAAAAATACCCGAAAAATACAAACAAACATAAAAAAAAAAAAAATATGGTTGGCAAAGGGTGATATTACATCATCAAATCCTAGTCACACCTCCTCGTGGTGCCAGCTGGAAACACTTAATTTCAAATATGTTTGATAAAAAGTGGCTGACGTGACAGGGGGTTTTTTTAATTGTTTATATCATGTTAGAAGTTAAATAACTATTACTATTTTACATTCTTAACGTTAAAACATATACAGGTGCATTTTATAAAGAACAACATTACTGGTTGTAATGTGCAGTATATGCAGTATATTCCGGATATAAGTATGTCCGTTGTCGGCTTCGGTGATCAATATACAAGTTCGTTCTTCATCTTCCGGCACGTAATTATACGTATATTATATCTGGATTCAAGAGAAAGTTAAGTTTATTAACTTATAACATGATATTTATGACTTATAGAAAAAATATTTTTTTTAGGGCGAAACAACCTGGGGCGAACGGGTTTTGGGGCGAAACAACCCTTAGGGCGAACGGGATTTGGGGCGAAACAACCCGTTACCGGGCATAGGGGTGGGGCTCTGTTTGAAATTTGTTAGATCTCAAGTACTGGATGGATCTTTCCGAAATTTCATAGGTACTTACAGCACCTACAATGGAGTGCTATATCTTTACTTCATACCAATTATTTTAAACATATTCATGTGAGCGATACAGGCCCTCTGGGCAATTCAAATCACCCTGCGTCCGTGGTCCGTTGTGCGTCCGCCATCTTTAATTTGAGAGTTAAAGTTTGTTTGCGCTATTTCTCAAAAAGTGCTGGAGAGATCTTTCTTAACTCTCACATATCCCTAGTTATGCATATCGTTTTTGGAGACTGACCACAAAATCAAGATGGCCGACAGGCAGTCATCTTGAATTTTGGGGTAAAAGTTTGTTAGTGCTATTTCTCAGAAAATAGGGGAGAGATCTTCCATACATTTCACATGAAGGTTCCCCATGGTCCCTAGTTATGCATATTAATTTTTGGGATTGATCACAAAACCAAGATGGCCGACAGGCAGCCATCTTGAGAGTTAAAGTTTGTTAGCACTATTTCTCAGAAAACAATGGAGAGATTTTTCTCAAATTTCACATTAAGGTTCCCCGTGGTCCCTTGTTATGCATAATAATTTTTGGGACTGAACTCGAAACTAAGATGGCCGACAGGCAGCCATCATGAATTTAATTGTTAAAGTTGGTAAGCGCTATTTTTCCGAATGGACAGGAAGGGTCTTTTTCAAATTTTACATGAAGGATATCCATCGTCTCTTGTTATGCATTTTGATTTTTGGGAATGATTGGAAAACCAAGATGGCTGGCAGGTGGCCATATTGAATTTTGAGTAAAATATTCTATTTGTGCTATTGCTCAAATGTATTGGAGGGATCTTTCTCAAATTTCAAATCTTTCTCTTGGTTCTTAGTTATGCATATCAATTCATGGACTGACCTGAAAACCAAGATGCTGACAGGCAGCCATCTTGTTACAGTTAGTTTGTTGTCGGTTTTTCTCAGGAAGAACTGTAGGAATCTTTCTCAAATTTGATAATTTGGTTCTCCTTAGCCCTTAGTTGTGCGTGTCAACTTTCCTTGATGATCAATAGACTGATTAAAATGGCTGACAGGCAAACTGATCAAACAGAAGAGAAAAGAAGAAAAAACATCAAACTGATATAGAACTAATAAAGATGGTACTATGGTGGGCGCCAAGATCCCCTCTGGGATCTCTTGTTATTTCTTGATTTTTTTTCGAAAATAATGTTGAGGCAGAAAGCCCAAAAAAGCAAAGCTTTGCTGCACAATATGGCCATTTCGTCCCACTAGGACTAAAAAGTGGTACGAAATTTCATAAAAAGCAAAATCAATACCCTTGTACATTGAACATGTACAAATACAGCACAATTCGAAATATATCTGAAACCTTTAGAGTGATACTCTAGATATTTACTCTTAAAACCGATAATTAATGTGAAACATACAGGAATAAGTTCCAGGAACAAAATTACAAATATTCTTGGGAATTGTTAGTCCACTAGTACAATTAACTGCCTTGTGACTTAAACACTATACATATTTGGACAAAAGTACCAGAAGTACGTAATGTAATTCATTTGATTATAAATTCTATGCAAAATAAAATTTGTTGAATTAAACAAAATATACTTTTATAAATCAAGACGGCAAAGATGCAGATTAATTTAGTACTTTATCACAAATGCTTGCATAAAGGAGATATTGATTCAATAAAGCATATCATAGGTTTAATTATAATTAATTTATCTTTTCTTTAAGGAGGGCACTTTTTAATCATACTGCAGTTGATAAATCTGTTCCCAGGGATTTTCCATCGCTTCCAGCTACATCAATTTAGATCCCGCCCGTTCATTATCGATACTAATCTGATATAGATAGCCTCCCTTGTTTAACATTACATTGAAAACAAAATAACAATTCTACATTTTTAAGTCAAGTACAAAAATATTTAACTATTCCACATTTATTAGGTAAATATAGGGGGGGGGATAATTCTACATTTTCTTGTCTATAAGGAAAGAAATTTCTAACAGTTCTGCATCTATAAGTCAAGTTCAAACAATTTTTAACAATTCTACATTTATAAGTCAAATAAAAAGAAATCGAAAATTTTACATTTTTAGTCAAATAGGGGGACAACAATTTTATTCTACAATTATTAGTCAAATACTAAAAATATATTTAATAAATCTACATCTATTTGTCAAAAAGGAAAATATGTAATCAATTGTACATTTATTATTCAAATATGATAAAATATTAATAATTCTACATATTCAGTTAAACAATTCTGCATTTTTAGCCAAATATGAAAAAGTAATTGTAATAATATACATTTATATAGCGCCCTATATAATTTGTAAAATTACTCTAAAGCGCTTTACATCGCAAAGTAATAATAGTATTAGTTATAATTGTGAAACTAATGGCTTACAATCACCATTATACAGAAAGCAAGAAGATAATCATCGCATTGTACACATTTATGTATAAATAAAGGGTGGTATGTGCATGACGTCTGTGCAAATATTCTAAAATGCAGACGTGAAGTGGTGAGTTTTGATGTCCTTCTTGAATTTGGCCAGGGTATTCGACTCTCCAATAGCAGATGTTATGATATTCTACAACGTGGTCGAAACCCTCCCAAAGCAACGTACAGGTAAGTTGAGGTAACCAGTGCAATGAATATAGCACAGGTGTGTTGTGCTCTCTCTTTCGAGTACGAGTAACCGGACGTGCTGCAGTGTTCTGGACCCTCTGCACACGATTAGTTATATTAGTTTGTCAGATATACCACAGAGCAGGGCGTTACCATAATCCAATCGAGAAGTAACAAGTGAATGCACCAAAATCTTGCATGCAACTGCAGTTATAAACTGCCGGATACAGCTAATGTTCCTGATCTGGTAGTAACAGGATTTGACACGCAAACACTACACGCATACATATTGCACACATGGGAGGCTGTCCTTAAATGACCATAGCTAGCGCTGTTGATAGGACATTAAACAAAACTAAACCAAACCAAACCAAACCAAATCACTTGTTTCTCCATATTCAGTGAACTATCAAAGTATACCCCTAGGTTTTTAAGGATGTACTCTTCTGAGGTTTCAATCACGTTCAAGTCTCGTTTTGATCTGGTGTAACAGGTTTTTGTAATATTTAACAAATTAAGATCAAGTTTATTAGCAAACACGCATCTGAAAAATATGTCAAAAAACTAGATGCCTGTTGTTTGTAGAACTTATTTTACAAGAATTTTTAAAAAATACCAATTTGGCGGCCATTTTGAAAACGTGTATTAATGTGTATTTCTTACGCTTCAAAAAAGGCCAAAATGTCACCTTTTTTGACACTAGATTGATCACTTAAATTGTCATTGTGTCGCCATTTTTAATTGTAGCAGGTTCAATTTTGCTGTTAAACTTTATAATGTTCAATATGATAAAAAATAATATGCAACAAACTGGAAAATTATACATTATTGATTTTTTTTTACGTATTTAGTGTAACTGAAGCACTTTTGAGTCATGACTCCGAATAAGGTAGAGAAATATCACAAATGAGAAAGGGACAAAAAAAGAAGCACACTGACCCCCCCCCCCCCCCATTTTTGTAGATGTTTTAGAAAGAGAAACACATTTTCATTTAATTCATTAAATATTAAAAATAAGTTTAATACCAGAACTTCTTATATCAAGCGTTTAATCTGCAAAGAAATGGTAAAGAATGAGTATTTTTTCATTAACAAATAGGGGGTAGGGGTAACTAAAATCGGCTTTCTGAGTTAAAAGAATAAGATTAAGAAATTTTCCTTCCACAATTTAAAAGAACATAATATTTTCATCAATTCTATAAACATTCATACACATCTGATAACATACTTGGAAGAAATTGTATGAATTTGTTCTGCAAATGGTCAAAAGCCAAAAAATCACCTAAAATCACGTGTTGTGTTAAATTGGTATCTTTGACCGTTCATGGCACAAAAACGAACACACCGACATCTAATTTTTTTTG